ACAGGAGAGAGGTGTGTGGTGGAGCTCTAAGGGAGAGCCCAAGGCTGGAGCAATGCAGGGAACAAAAACCATTTACAGAACTATGTGGGAGAAGCCAGGGCTGGGATAGCAGAGGGGCTGTGGGGTCAGGGTGAAGGTGTACAAGCGGGACTGTAGGGAAGCACGTGTAGCTATACTCAGCCAATACCCAGTTTGAGTGCATTCTCTGGGTATTGGAGCCAGAGACCAGGACAGACTGAGATGACTGCCTTCCTGACTGTAGCCAGGTTGTACTGCCCTTGCTGGGGGCTGGGAATCCCCACTGTGCTCAGATCAGGACCAGAAGACAGTCACAGCTCCAACCACCCCGATACTATCTCCAGCAGTGAATCAAATTCTTTCAAGCACTTACAGCTGGGGGCATGTTCTGCTGCTCTGGATCCAAGGGAGACCCACGACTGAGCAAAATGCTGGGGTGGAAGAGGACAAACAAGTCAACAGGAGCACTCGGAGCAATACTGTGGCAAGAAGGGCTAATGTGCCGTTGGCTGTATAAGCAGGAGAGGAGTAAGTTGAGCAGGGAGGGGAGGTCACCGCTACGCATGGCACTGGTGAGACTGATACTGGACTACAGTCCCTTGCTCTAAACACCACATTTTAAAAAGGACGGTGTCAAGGAGGAAACGGTGCAGCAAAGAGCCGCCAAAATGATTCACAAGCTGGAGAAAGTGCCTTACAGTGAGAGGCTTCAAGAGCTCAATCTGTTTAGTTTATCAAAAGGAGGATTGAGCCATGACTTAATTACAGTGTGTAAGTACCTCCATGGGGATGACATACCCGGCACTAAAGGGCTCTTTATCCTAGTGAGAAAGGCAGAACAAGAACCAAGGGCTGGAAGCAGAAGCCAGACAAATTCAAACTGGAAATGGAGCACACGTCTTTAACAGGAAGGAGGATTAATGCTGGGACCAACCCCCAGAGAGTGGGGGGGAGCCTCCATCTCAATGTCCTCAGACCCAGACTGACTGTCCCTCAGGAAGACACTACAGCCGCACACAAGTTACTGGGCTCAGTACAGGGGTAACTGGATGAAATTAGTGGCTGGTGCTACTCAGGAGAACACACTGGACAGTCTAATGGTCCCCTAAGGCCTCAGAGTCTATGGACTGGCACAGGGCAGTGCCAGGGGCAGAGCTGCTCTACAGCTACCCCACACTGGGGGCAAGCATCTTGGCCTCCTCAGCAGCAACAGGTTACTCGTAAAGGGTTACTGGCCCCAAACACCTGAGAACAAGGAGGAGTCACTGCCAGTGACCCAAGGGGACCCCTCTACCAGCACAAGAGGACCAGGGCGTCCCTGTCCTAGGCTGCTCTGCCATGACTGGAAGAATTTGTGCCAACCCCAACAATGAAGTTTGGCGCTGAGAATGCAGGTCCGATGGGAAGTGTGCTGAGACGCAGCAAATTCACCGCATGCAGTCCCTGCATGGGAACAGCCTGTCCCCACTGCTGATCTGGGTTTCATTTGGACCTCAGACTTCAGGGACAAAGGCTCCACAGCCCATTAGCGATCTTTGAGCTTTCTCAGACATCTTGGGGGTAGAGGGGGGAAATGCACTGGGGGTCTCTGTAGAGACTGGATGCCCCCCCCCCCCCACACACACACACCGATCAGAGTCAGAGGTACTAGAAATAACCTCTGTTGCTTCTGCTCAATGCCCTGACTTTACACCCGCCATGGCCTCGCGCTGGGACTCAGAGCCGGGGGCGGGGAGAAGAATTATTCTAGGAAGCCGGTGTCAGGCACCATGGCAACCGAGGGAGAATTCCCGGTAGAGCCTGGTTTTCCCGACTCCTCCCTGAAGGAGCGGGTGGCCCAAGCTCAGCAGAGCCCTCTCTCTACAAAGAAATCAAGCTTTCCCCCAGCCCTGTCACCAGGAGGCTGCAGATGGCAACCCCCTCTGCTGGACATAATCTGTGCCAATAAATCCAGGCCTCCCATCAACAGGCTCCACTTCGCTCACAGATGCCAGGCAGAGATGCACTGGCATTTCCCAGGAGGCATCTAACATGGGCAGTAAGTGAGGAGACATGGAGAGAGACACCCAACCCCCTGCTGCCTTAGCCCTGGGCAGGGTCCTCTGAAGAACCCCCGTGACCCTCCCTTACCTTTTTGCTGCCCCACGCTGGGCCTTGCCCTCTCAGCAGCATCTTAAATGCTACCAATATAAATCAAAAGCCCTAAACTAGCAGCAGAAGGGCACTAATAGCTATCATCACCCTGCCCCCCAGCCCCATCCGGCCCCAGGGAGTCATGCCTCACCACCCTGGAGTGGCTTCCTAGATCCAACCATGAATCCAGGGACTGAGTTCTCACACACACTTCTGGGGACATCCATGTCCCCACACCAAGTCAGCCTGCAGGGGAACTGCCTGGACCCAGCTGCCTCGGCGCAGCAGGCTGGCAGAGGTTACACCCCCATAGCAGGAGCAAGCTCCAAAACACAACATGACTGACATTTCCAGTCCCATGAATACTGTGGCTTTAACCAGCATTGACCAGTCCACTGTAGCTCAAAGTGCCTTGCAACCACAGAGCTTCATGCTAATCCTGCAGGCAGGATGTTTCACAGATGGGAATACCGAGGTGCAGAGAACCAGGGACAGAGCTGGGTTCTCCTGATCCCATCCACCCCACAGCCAGGCCCCTGCACTGACTACTAGACCAGGATGTCAGTAAGCCCTGCCTCCGTGCCCAGAGGAGCCTGCACCGGGCCATTTCATTCCCTCCCTGCAGCCCCCACTCAGCCTGTGCAGCGAGCACACTGCAGCACTCTCTGCCAGGGAAGCGAAGCGAAGCGGGGCAGATGGGAGGAGACAGTCACTGGATTACACATGTCGGGGAAACAAGCAGGTTTTGTGGGTGAGGCCAGGCCCCCATCAATCAAAGGATGAATAAGAGGCCCCAGCGGAGCGATGGGCAAAGTGCAGAAGAGCCCCCTGCACTGTGAGGGGTTGAAAGAGACAGGAGGCCTTGCTGTCAGGGCCATGGAGCTTGCGCCCTGCCTTTCCACTCAGGAAGGGAAGCCCCTAGTATTACCATGCTTGCAGCACAGAACCAGCAGCAGGCTGTGACTGCTCAGAGCCAGGCCCTAAGCTGGCTGCAGTGGCCAAACTAGCATTATATCCCACCACACAGCAGAATCCCATAACCAACCCTGTGCCTCCCACTCCCCAGACATGACCAGCCTCCTGGGCTGGTCATAAAGGGTGGGTGAGGGCAAGGAAGCCTGGCTGCTATCTTCTTCTCAGCCTAAACACAGACCACATGAGACAGGGGGCATCCTCAGGTCAGTGGGGAGATGCTGAATGGATAAACAGAAGCAAAAATACAGCTGGGGAAGGCCCTCCACACTAGCAGTGCCCTCCATAACCACAGAGCCTAGGATGGCACAATACTGTCCCCACTGGGCTCGCCACATCCTGGCACTCTCTCTTGCTCCCAGGACTCCTCCCAGGACCAGCCAGCTCCACACTGGAGACTCAGCACCCTTCTTGCAGAAACACCAGGCACCCCCAGAGCCTCTGTTCCACTGGTGCTGAGTGCAGGAAGGAGCTGTGTCACCTACTGCCATGGCGACTGGGGATGGGGTGATCCAAGCCCTGTAGATCTGGGCTGTGGGCTTAATCCAAAACCCACCAACACCATGGCAAAACCTCTGCCTTCTCCTGGCCCACCACTGGCCTGTCTTGGGTGCCTGGGTCATAGGAGCAGACAGCCCAGGGGGAACATGGGGACATGGCTCAAGTCGGACCTACCTTTGCCCCCTCCCCACAGAGAGCTCTGCCCAGTTCAGGGGCGCGTGGCTCATGGGAGGCGGCAGACGTGCTGTGATGGGGCCTGACAAATCCCAGCCCGTGGCACAGGCCTCCAACCTTGACATGTGAGGGGACAGGCCATGAACCAACTCCCTTGCCCACCTTGCTCAGCGCACCCGAAACGCAGGGACCCTCCATCCCTGACTGAGCAGAGCCAAGGCAGGCTGGTCACACCCTTGGTGCCATGGAGCTCTGGCTCTCTGCCCTACAGGGCTTAGCAGGTGGCCGAGCTCCACCAGGGTCCAAGCGGCCCATGCGGTGCTCTCAAGCCAAGCCCACATGCCCGTTGCCTAAGCACAGGTCCCGGGCACACCGTGCACTGCATGCCCCAAGCCTTTCCTCGCCACCCTGTGGCACGTCTTCCACGCAAAGCAGCGCGCTGAGGGGAGCCAGCCTGGCAGTCACTCAGACCAGGCCTGGCGGGGAACAGCCAGAAGGGCCCGTCCTGGCTGTAAGCAGCTGGGAGGTGACTCCCCATGTCCTGTGACCAAAACCGCCTTTGTTCCAGCCTCCGGGACCCACGCCAGGGCAGGATAGCCAGCCGCCGGGCTCCTGCACTGGATCCCCTGAACCTGGGGGGTCCCACCCCGCTCTCCCAGGGCTCAGCCAGGGCTGGACACCCGGCAGGGCACCACCTGCCACCCTGTGCTTCAACCCACAAGGAAAATGGCTGGGATCCAGAGCTGGGTCACACGCTGCCTGCAGCGGGGAGTGGAGGGACGGAGCCGGAGGGGTGTGCCCGGCAGCAAGCAGGCAGACAGATGATCCGGGGCAAGGGAGGGTGGACAGACGGAGGGGTGGGGATGGCCTCGGGGTGGTGGGGAAGAGAGGGGGCAGACAGACGCTTAGACAAGGTGGGCGCCTGGGGGAAGGGGAAGACGGACAGATGCCGGGAGGAGGCAGCGGGATCACGTCCCCCCCCAGGGTGGTGAGGGGGGTGTGGGGAGGGGCCCGATCCGGCCCCCGGGCGCCTCGGCCAGCAGCAGACAATGGTGCCGCAGCCCCGGAGAGAAACAAGGCGGGGACGGGGGGATCCGCACCCCCAGACACGCACGCACACACACACACACACACACACATGCACACACACACGCGGGGCCGCGCCCCCGCCGCAGACAAAGGCCCGCGCCCCGCTGGCTCACCCTGCGGGCTGGGAGGGTCCCCCGGAGACTTGCCCAGCGCCGGCCCGATGCCGCCGGGGAAGAGCAGCAGGAGCAGGAGGAGGCGGCTGCAGCAGCACCGCCGGGCTGCCATGGTGCTGG